GTGGCCTGGTATACTGTGGCTTGGTATACTGTGGTCTGGTATACTGTGGCCTGGTATACTGTGGCTTGGTATACTGTGGCCTGGTATACTGTGGCTTGGTATACTGTGAACTGGTATACTTCAGTACAAAGTGGCGGCGAAGAAAGCAACAGCTCAGCAGCCACGACGTCTTTTAAAAGAGATATTGTAGTTAAACAAGGTAAAACGACGTCAGTGGTGTGGGGGGCATCACAATACTCCCCATTCCATGTACACAGCCTTGCTCTCATACAGCCAGGAGGGGGCAACAACGCCCAGCCAATTCCCATCCTACTGGGGGCAGGTTGCTAGGCAACATTTGAGCGTTTACCCCCCCAGTGGCAGGCAGGGTCAGCCGAGGACGGCCAGAGGCAGCAGAGACGGCGGTGTTGACAGGGCTTCTACTGACAACACCAGATGAGACTCACCCACCTCCCCCCCCCCTCCCCAAAGCAGCAACTCCACAGTCTGCTCAGAGCTGGCAAGACCCAGATCCGGCCCTCCTGTAATCGTTGCAGGTGTCTAAAAGCCTGCAGCATGCTGCGCTGTCAGAGGAGCACCCCCGCACCCCCCCCCCCATGCTCCACCCCAGGTGGAACCGCAGGCAGAGTGCTGTCGGCACGCCATGTTCTGAACGGAAGGACACGCGCCCGGGCTGGCGCCTTGGCCTGTCAGACCCTGCGGCCGAGCCTGGGCCCACCCGACAGGCCGGAACCTGCGACGGCCCAATCAGCCCTCACCTTCAGCAGCGCAGGCTCACCGCGGGGCAGCAGCTTCCTGTAGGAGGGCGCGGACAGATCACAAGAGCAACGGGTGCTCAAAGTGAGCTCTCAAAAAAAAAAAAACAGCTGCGTTTCAAGACTGCAGCAGCAAAACCATAATCATCCAGCACCTGCACAACTCTGCAATACTCACCAGCAGCCCAAGGCACGGCCCTTCACTAGCAGTGACACAGATTCTGTCAGGACACACTCACCATTCACTGCCACCCACAACAGAAAAGTGCCCGTGACTTTTAAAAATTCAGTGAAAGCAGCACAATTCCAAATTCACAATACTAAGTAGTAACACTATCCTATTTAAAAAGTTACACCAAACTGAAAATAAAACCACTGCACAATGCAAATATGAGTACCTGCATACACCTACAGCGTGCCACTTTATTAGTCTTTCCCATCAACCCCACTTGTTTACCTTGTGATCTCCTGTTGAATTGCATATCCAACTCAAAATAACAGTACAATAATCATTTGCTTGCATGTATAAAAGGACTATAGTAACTGTGACAAATGTGTCACAACTGAGTGTTTTTTTTAAGTAACATTCAGCTCCCTGGCAGTGCCTTGGTCCCAACGCTGTCTGAAACTGGAATTTTTACTGTAATCATTTTACAGCTCACCAGTGTTAACTCCTCATCGCTATATGCCACAACATAAGGGGGAGGCAGCTATACTGCAGAGGGTGCGAGGCGACACCCCCCCTACCTTGACAATCTAGCACGTGAGCCTCATGCAGCTGGGCTGGTGGGGGACAGCTTTGGAAATTGTGACGGAAATGTCGCATTAACACCGAAAGACGAATGCCAATTAAGTGCCACTTTTTTCATAAACAGAATTCCAGCATCACAACTGCATGCAGCACATGAGACAGACACATTACCCTAAAGATTGTTAACCACAGTGCAGGTAATCTTCCAACCCTCCTCACTCACACAAGGTTACACGTTATAATCATCACTAGGTAAAGGTGAGATACAGCAGATGGTACAAGGACTACCTCATTTAACCCGTAACGAAGTTCACGGACCAGCGGTAACCTTAAAATATGGCTGTCATTTCTCTGCTCAGCATAACATCTAGCCATCATGTGGGCAAAACCCTAAGCTATACAAACACCTTTCAAAGACATCAGTTTTAAGTAAAACAGGACACCAAAGCACTGATCAGCTCTTCTGGAATCTACAAGAATCTTCACCGGTATACCATACCGGTATGCCATTTTCTATGTCTGTTAGAAGTTCGCTTGCAAATGTGTGTTGCGCAGAAACTGCACTCCATGTGACGATTTCCACAAGTTTCACCGATTGTATAAAATTACAAAGATATCACAAATATCAATCTCCCTACAATCTATTACAACGTGGAAAACTAAAACCATTATGCAATTAGCCTAAGACCACAAACCAGAGCATCGCTGGTCGTGACATACAAAACTAAATATCGAGACCAGACAATGATGATAAAAACGTAATGTATGGGGTAACTATAGCTTTCTATATGCAGTTTTATTTATATGATTAATGTTCAATTCTCGGTATAAATGAGCCTCGCTCGTTTTGATACTGAAAATGAGACGCTGGCACAGCGGTTGCACGGCGACGAGATGCGGCGGTGCGTTCGGCCGGTGTCGCCGAGCCCCACGCCGCTCGTGACATCGGAACACGACGGACGACCACGTGACCAGGGGAGGTTTCGAACCAGGGGCCAGCAGCAGGGCTGGAGATTCCGGCACAGGACCACCGTCAGACCTTCACATTGTGACCCTCTGGTGGCGAACTGTTCAAACCAAAAAACTAACGTGCATAATTCATTCTTTTCAGACAGAGACGTGGGGGCAGGAGGAAGAGGAGGCATTTATACACCGCTTCCGGGATTACTGGTGGCTGTACGTCCGAGCAGATCGAGTGCATCGATTTAATAGCTGCTTCAGAAGTTATCAAAATGCAAACATTTTGTGTAGAAAGCATGTCAGCAGTACAAAGGCACGGCTGCTTTTGCACAGACCTCATACTGTATGCGCCCGCTCCAAGCTCCTGACCAATTCCAGACAGACTGGCATCGAAGTCGTGCACAAGCCCGGACTCGATCGTGGCATCATCCATCTTCAGCACCCATGCCATGACGCCCAGCTCCTTCTCCTCCGGCTCTAGACGAATGGCCGCCAGCGTTCCCCTCGGCTGAGATGTAGCTGGCTAGCTACCAGTGTTATGTGGGGAGCAAAGGGATTCAGCAGCTAGCTAGCTAGCTAGCTACCAAGATAGGCGTATAAACTGCTCACCGCCACAACAGAGTCCGTCATCAACTCCAAAGGTATTCAGAACCATAATTTCATAGAATTGTTTATCCAAGCGAGTCCAGCTTTAGGTCTTCTCTACGCCTGGTTTGATATCGATAGATAATCGCGCGATTTGCAATCACAACTGGTGTGTTACTTGGCGAACGGCAGTACACATAGGGCTCTGGTGTTCCGACACGAAAAAAAAAACCCAAAGAGGATGTTGTTGACAGTCCGCGCGGCGCGTAGCACGCAATGCCGCTCCGCGCAACTCGCCAGCCGAGTAGCTGCGACCAATGGCGAGCATCCAGCAGCCGAACTTATCCGAAGCTCTACGCTGCTCGATATTCTCCGGCTCGCATCACGAGCCCGGCCGACGGCTTCCGCAGTCCGAGGCCGGCTTACAGCGATACTAAAGAATTATCCAGGTTCCACACAATCCATCAACATGGCCTCCTACACACAAAGGCCCCCCCCGACTACAGCCGCAGGAGGAGAGGCAAAGGAATACAATAGCCAATCAGAGATAACGTCTTCCGCAATAAGGTGGCCGTAATAGCCCAATGGACTGGTGCAATATCCTGGAGCAAGTCGTTCATTGGTTACAAGAGAGCGACCATTGGAATGGCGTGGCCAAAAGCCAATTAAAGAGATGTATTTTAAAAAACGATATCATTTATTGGCTCCAATTTTTGAAATATATTATATTTTTATATCTGAGTGAAGATTTATATTTACAGAATTTGTGCACCGCTTAAATGAAAGGGTTGTAAAGTACAATTCCAAATCAAAAGTATTTGAAATGGAAATAAAAGTGGAAATAGTACAGATAATCTAAAGTCCAATCGTAAAAGCTTCCCTCCAAATTATGTTGTAATTTCGTTTTCATTAAAAATTTACTTTTTTTTCCTCGTTAATTTCCAGTTATCCTGCAGCAGCTACCTGTGTTCTATGCTTGCGCCGGATGTGCGCTTGTGACCACCTGGCCCATCCTGCTGGAAAGCTCCGCTCACCGCCAAGGCGTACGGGCTGTTCCGGTTACCGACGCCTCCGAAAGGCTGCAGCGCCCGGGCGGGGACCGGCCGCTTCTCCGCACGACGAACGTCACGCGGCCGCCAACCTCCCCATTCCCTTCCGGAATCTGACCGTCATTCCCGGAGTTTTGTTTAGGACATATGGAAAACTTCTAGCACATCCATTATATTTAAGTTCGTCGAACTTTAGCATTGCTAAATCTATAGTTTACATATGACTCCAATCTGTCACAAAGGCAGCATACATTATTTGTATATATTAAAGTATAATTGCTGGTTGAATTATATTGCTGTCGTATATGATAATCATATCTGTGACAAAATCCAATCTGAATTGGTAATCTGTGTTATTATGCCCTCGCCCCACCTCGACATTTGTGAATTTCACCATCGATCTCAAGGGACGAAAGTCCACCTCAAAGAGTTATCTTTTAAATGTGCAATTCTGCAGCTACTCCGATAAGTATACTTCGTTTGCCCAGCTTGAATTCTCGTGCGCCCTTTCCATATTATTATACCGTTTTCTCATGCCCTGCTTCACAGTATAAACGCGGCATTTCATAACAGCGCGACTTCTGACCGCACTTCGATCTGTGTCGGGCACCTATTTTCATGTTGAGCAATTCCGTTACCATGAACGGCAAACCCTCCCGCCGCCAGTCCGAGAAAAACACTGTGCATGAAGGTGGTTACGGCTGTCGAGTTTTGCTATTCCTATTTTGACTATTCGTAGCTCCTAAACACCTTAACAATTAGATAATTGCGTATATACAAATTTGCCATTTTAAAGAGTTATTTGCTCTATAGTTATGGGACGACTACAAATGTTCTGCGGTACCTACGAGTTTGTTATCGGTTTAGATTTATGAATCGTCAGTCTTATGAACGCTTCATTCTTGTAAGAATACTTTATATTACAAATACATAATAGAAGAAAATGCCCGAGGTTTCCAACTTGTTGCGAATTCAGAAGTGTTTTTTCCAATATAGGTTGAAGTTTGCAAAACAGGAAACAAATGAACGGTGCTCTTTTCCGTTTTGCATCTGTGGCGACATATACACGGCTGTGACAATATTCATATATATTCTTGGAAATACTCAAATGACACGCGACGCGATGTTGAAATTAATCGGCAAATACGCAGGGATGATTCATTCGTGCAGAATTACTAAACCTGACAGTCTGTATATTTACAGAGGTGTTTTTCCACTTACCGAATGTAGTTGCAGTTTGCATTGGGTCGTGGATCAAAGCGCTCCGTGTATGACTGCCAGAAAAGCATTGCCGCGGACATTGGGGATGTAGAGCCACCACTACGTATATAAATATTAAACACATACTTCAGCAGCTAACATGCTATTCGCGATGTCTTCTGCCTTTAATCGGTAATTAATCAGACATGGATCTTGGCGATAACGGGAGGTGGCGTAAGACGACCTTTCCCACCGATTGGAGCAAAACAGCGCTTTTCTCCTTTAGCACACGTGCAGTTGGGTTGCATAACAGTACGTAATATCAACGTGAAATTAAAGTGCAAAAATATCTGCAGAGGGTTTATATAGTGAAATCTTCCCCTAGTTGACTTAAAACAATTTATGCAATCAGTGTTTTCATAGTGTTCCGAAAAGACGCTTACTGATCAGCTTTATTCTCTGATCAACTTGCAAATTTAACGAAATATGAAGACAACAGTCTGGCAGGTAATATTCTGTACAATTTTATTGCCTGTATATGGACAACTATCAGCAGAAGGCTATAAATACACGAAAGATAACAGAACAGTGAAAACTAATGTTACAGCTCATGGGGTTGGGAGGGGCACTAGGAGAATGAGAGAGACACAGAATCAAGCCTTTCAAGTCTGCAAATACATTTTCTACAATTTTCCCCTTCCGAATTAATGTAGCCTCGGACCATCTCCAGCATAACCTTCGGTGCCTTTCCCTAAACATTATATTATAATATATATAAAATCAGCACCTGTCTAATCCAGAGGAGTGAATACCCCTCCCCCATACACAAGGGGGTGATGTAGAGCTGGCGCGTGAACGCCACACCTGGGTCAGGATGTACCATGAAACCGGGGGGGGGGGGGGGTGAATGTCATTCAGGGAGCATCCACGCAGTGTTACGTTACTGGGGGAGGCTGAGCAGAGGATCAAAAAACGAAAGACGGGGGGAGAGAGGTAAAAAAAAATATATATATCTGGGTTTAGTCATTTTCCCACCACAACTTTGCTCTGCAAGCACCTGCACAGTCCATGTAGCGATTGCCGGCTCAGTCTCCGTAAAGCACAGACCGAGCAGCGAAAAAGCCAGCCTCCCCCCGGGGTGACGGCCGGTCTGACAAAGACTAGACATGGACTTCAAGGCTGCAGACTTAACAGATCGAGGGAGAAAATAAAACAAGGAGCTGGTTAGCCATTGATTACATTGGACGTCCTGACAGCTGGTGTGTGCAGGTCCTGCCAGCAGGGGGCGAGCCGCAACAGTGAGCGCTGGCCCCTTCTAGCTTGCAATGTAAGAAGAGGGAGCCACACTGCCAGTTCAGGGTCCATTGACAGTTCCTCCATTTTGCATGGGACCAACCACAGATGCACACAAGCAAACACAAAATAAAGCAAATGACAGTCCGATCTGTTCGTACCACTGCTCCACTGATAAGTTAAAATTCAGTGTAAAAACTAGGAATTCACCAAAGGAAAAAAAAAAGCTTTAAGGGCAAACAACTTGAAGTTCAGGATAACACTAAACAGAATACTGCCTTTGCTCTGATTAGACAAACCTGTGAGTCGCATGTTTTAGGGTTAATGTCCATGAAATATCTGACTGCGCTCCCCCATGTTTGGAGTTAGCAAAACTGTTAGCACTGAAATGCTATTTGTAGGCGATGCTTCAGCAAATGCAGTCACTGTTATGGATGAAGGTCACCGCGCTTAGACTGCACCTACCACCACCAGTGTTACATGTTAGCGTTTTGTAACATTTATTGTAATATTTGTAGAACAACTTACACAGCTGATCCATGTCTTCATAATCGTACACTTGTGACCATATAAAAAAAAATTGCACATTATATATATATATATAGATATATATATATATATATAGATATATAGATATATATATATATAGATATATATATAGAGGTCACAGGTAACACTGCCGTTTACCCAGGGTGATGGGACCTGAGGTGGAGAAAGCCAGCATGCACGGGGTCCAGTTACTGGGTATAAACTGGAAAGCGGCCCCCAGTGATAAAGCTGAACTTGTCCCACATATCCAGGTGGTGGGGGGGGGGGGCATCGGAGCCCTTCGCAGCTGAAGACGTTGCATGGGTTGAAGTAGCATAACGTAGCTACATGCATAGCAAAAGGTGTGTGTGTGTGTGTCTGTGTCAGTGTGTGTGTGTGTGTGTGTGTCTCTGTGTGTGTATGGAGTCTAACTGGGCGGCTTCCTGCCCATGTCCCCTTCCTTTCCTGTCCAGCCAGCAGAAGGCACTGTCCCCACTCCCTTGCATCACCCTCTATAGGCCCTGGCCTGAGATGTCAGGAGATGGCTCTGTGTTGCCGGAGCTTGTCTGGGCACGCTTGATGTACAGATTCAGCAACTTCAGCTACAGGAGAGGAGGAAGAACGAGAGAGAAAAAAAATGTCCATCCATTAGAACAGACAGCATCCTGAACTCATCTACAGGCATGGCAGGTAACTAAATCAAGAAATCCTCTGTTTTTTCAGTTGGATGCTAACAGCTCACAGTGACATTTACTGCTGAGGTCTGGCTCAGGTCAGGAGAGATGCAGGGAGGAGGAGGAGAGACGAGCTGTGGAAGAGTTAGGGGAGCTCACCTTACTGCCGGACAGCTGGCTGAGGTGTGGCTTTAGGTCCTCTCCGATGACGGAGTACAGCGCCACCAGGCAGAAGACGCAGGCCTTTCGCACGCTGCTCTCAGAGTTGTCGTATCCCTGGCAGGAAAGGAGACAGTCACGTGTGTGCTCACGCCACACGCCGCCATCGAGCACTGCGGTCATACCGCAACACCAACCACAGGGGGCAGTGCTGTCCTGGGTGAGGCTTGGAAAAGAGCCTACCTGTATGAGTCCTGGGATGATCTCAGGAAGCATCTGCCTCAGACCGTCCTTGGACAGCCGGTCGATGACCTTAGTCTGCATCTTAATGGCAGCCAGGTTGATGGGATATTCGGCTGTCTGTACAATGGGGCACAGCACCTTGGTGCACTGCTCTGGGCTGATGGAGCTGGCCAACATGGCTGCCGTCTCTTCTGCCGCCCGCACCACCTGTGGAGGGGCAGGGGGGCATTCAGGCAGGGCAGGGAATGTCGGCACAGACACAGACAGGGAACGCTATTGCCTTGAGTGGACAAACTCTCTGGCTTGTTTGTCACCTAGTTGTAGGTGAGTCAGGCATGAACTCACAGTGACTAACTCTGCTGTCAAGGGCACAGCTGACATAGATGGGGGACAGGGGACAGCAGAGTTCAGGGTTACCCCAGTAAGGAGTTGTGTGGGGGGGTGAAGCTGAGTGCGAGTCTCCATCAGTTAATGCTCTGTATCCGTTTTGGTAACAAGGTACCACCCAAAAGGTGTGGAGTTTGTATACCACACATTTATAAAGAAATGGAATAAAACTGAGGGATGTTTTCTGATCAAAAATTGAGATCTTCAAATTCCACAAAACCAAGGTGTTACAAGGGAGCCCTGCAGGAGAGTGTGGAGCAGGCCGGACCTCCTTGTGTGGGTCCTTGTGGGACTCCAGGGCCTTCATGATGGTCAGCTCGGCATAGTTCTTAAAGCGGGTCGGCTGCCGGTGCAGAATCTCCTTCAGCACCCTCAGCGCCAGGGCCCGGATCACATGCTGGGAGGGACAGCAGACTGGTCACATAACTGGGTGGCGGCCTACCATGCAGGTCATCGTCACACCACATTTGAGAAATACCATTGGGAGGCTTCTTGAGACACCCAATACAGTTATGCATTGTAGTGAACACTGTGGTCATGGAGGGAAGATAAAGCACTTGGTACGGAAATCACAGTGAAGCAAGAAAATATTTCTGCAGCCAGGTGCAAGAGTGTCGAGGGGAGGGGTTTATCATGAGGGGAAGGAGGGGTTTATAACAAGGGTTCAGGTATCAGATAACAGGCTCCTTGGTTTGCTTGATAACATTACCCCTCCCAATCAATATTCGGGTCCTGGCTGCAGTGATATGCTTCTCAAGTGAAGAACAAAATGATGCATCATGAAACATTTGCTGCATCTTCTGAGCCCACTAGATGGTGCTCTCTATTCAAAAAAGGGCACAAGCAAGCCCCAAAGCAAACCAAGAGCACCATCTAGTGGGGTCATAAAATACGGCAAGTGGTTCATGATGCGTCATTCTGGCCATCATTAGCAAACCTAATGAAGAGCCATTTAACATTAATTCTAGTCCTTGGCAATGACAAGGTGCAGTCATTCTGGGTCTTAGCTGGAGGGTATAACTTGATCAGTTACTAGTTCCCACCTCACGATCACCCAGAGTCTCCAGCAGCAGTAACAGGATGGTCTTGAAGTGCTCGTCCCACACCAGCAGCTGGCCATCGCGCACCAACCGGAGCAGCTCGCACAGGGCAGCCTTGCGCTCCTCCACACGCTCGTTGTGATTGGACAGCTCCTTCAGCAGCTCTGAGACCAGTTCTGACTGGTCCAGACCACCATCTAATGGGACACGATAGATTGAAGCACTCGATCCTCAGGCTGTTGGTGCACTGAGTATAAAAACCCCGTCAGTGTGACGGAGAACTGATGACAATGTGGCAATGTGACACTACACTCAAACACCAACACCAGCTCAGCTCAGCCACACTCACACTGGCAGGTGTACAGACACACAGACATAGAGATCCCACCCAACAGGAGGTGGTGCCCCCCCCCCATATACCTTCGGGGAAACGCTGGACGTCGTCGGTGAACACAGCCTCCTTGAGGGCGGCCTTGCTGAAGGATGAGTCACAGTAGTGGGCGGGATTGTAGTCCCGTAGGCCACGGGGGCTGGAGTGCAGCAGCGGCGGCATGGTGTTCAGCAGGGACGTCTTGTTGTCCAGGGCCGTGCGCCCGCTGTCTGTGGACTCGACGCCCATCCTATACTCCGGCCCGGTGCTGCCGACACCCCCCTGACAGACAGGGCTGCAGGTTAAGGCTGGTTCATACGGCGTACAAGCCCAACAGTCGCATATCCACTCTGCATATGCGTACGCGGAAACATTCACAGCCACATACTTTGCACATGTGTGCAACATGATGTACTTATATTTTTTTACTAATAATATAAATTATTCTGATATTCCCCACACACCACAGAAAAGAGGTTTGTGTCAGTTTCTCTGTTTTATAAATTCAGAAAACCAGCTCACAGGGTTGCCAACCTTGGTCAGCTGGCTCACTAATCCACCAATAAACCACATTGAAGATTTCCATAAACACTAAACAAGCATACATCATGGCCAGAAGCTGTGGTAAGCTACAAATTCTCACATATTCTTTGGACACAGGACTAATGTTCGATGTCACTTAAGAGCCCGGGGGGGGGAACGCAGCTCTGTGCCATGACAACTGCAGCAGAGAGCAAAATAATCCAGTCAGGTGTCAGGGGTAAAGGGTAAGGAGCAGACAGCCGGCATGGGAGGTGAAAACAGCAGATCCATGTCAGTCCACTGGGGCTGCAGCCACCGGAGGCAGGGGGTCAAAAGCCAGTCAGCACGCCAGAAACTCTCCACATTTCTTGGCTCTCTTGGGGGACAAATTGGCATGTTAGGGGCCAAAGCTTTGCTTTGATCCCACCGGGCAGCTGGTCCAGTGAGGTTCCACCACCTCAGCGGCGAACATGAGGAGTCAGCAGCGTGTCCCCCAACAGCAGCGCCCCGCCCTGACTGACAGGAAGCACCCTGCGGCCCTAAGCAAGCCGACCCAGAGAAATGATCAGAGGCTGCCTCATTCATACCGTACAGCCGGAGCGGGGCTAAAAATACTCAGAGTAACAGGAACGCGGTGAAGTTCTGCAATTCGGAAAACTTGAACCCAACAAATTTCAAATAAAGGTATTTTCATTTACAGTACAGCTGCGCCGGATGTCCAGGTACTGGCAGGACGTGCACCACCCAAGCCAGGTGTATGCTATGATAGGAGGCGGGGCCAAAATTCTCAGGGGAGGGGCCACGGCTAATGCTGCATTACACTTGCACCTGGAAGTTGGAATTTCCCAGTTCCTAGTCAGAAACTTCAGCTGGAATGGCCTCTGAATGGCCTCAGACAGTCGGCGGAACTGTTACAACACCGACCTCAGAATTCAAGATGGCTGCTCCCTTTAGCAGAAGTTAAAGCTGTAGTTATATACTGTTTATTAAGACATACGATTTATTTGTGGCTCGATTTGGTCGCACACACAGTCCTGTCCAACTGCTATCAGACATTGCTATGTTGCTAAGATGTTTATATGCACAAAATACCACGTAAAGGATCATTATCAACTGATCTTGCTAACAATGGCTAATGGTGAACCTAGATAGAATCGGCATCATTAAATGCCTTTCCGACTTTGTATTGCAGCGCAGTGTGACGACATTCCCAGCTATGACGACATTCCCAGCTATGACATCCAACCTCTGAGGTAAATGGAACACAGAATGGCAGAGCTGGTACCAGTAAGAGCTAAATGACAGTAAGGGATGTCGAGCAGGAAGGAGGACCCAGGCACTCATTTGTGGGGACTAGCCCCCCCACCCCGGTGCTGACAGTGCAGCAAATAGTGACGTGAGCAGCAACTGGAGTGGCACCACCTAGGGGGCAATAGTGGTCGGTCTGCAGACGCTCACCCCATCGCCATCCCGCCGTGGCGTGTCGCTCATGTCCTCTTGACTCCGCACGCTGAAGTTATGGATGGCCTCTGTGACGCCACGCAGCGAGCTGTAGATGTCCTCAGAGTTCATGTTCTCCGTGTCGTAGTCAAAGGCGCTGTCACGGTAGTGAGAGAGCAATTCATTATGCCAAGATCATCAGCCAGCTGATTCTGGGTGTGCAAAACACGGCCGCAAATGACTAATGGCAGGTTTTACACTCTGACACAAGAGGCACCACTCTGGGCCCGATTAGCACAGGGACCGGCTCACCTGGGAGACGGGGCATTCTGTGAGGTGTTGGTGGGCGAGGTCAGCGGGCTGCCCCAGCTGGCCGGGGATCGAGAAGTGTGCCGGGTGAGGGGGCTTCCCACGGAGGTCTGGGAGGGCCAGAAAAAGCACCATCAGCCCCACACCGCAGCAGGCGAGCCTGCGAATGGGGTGTGCGGGTCAGGATACACCTACCTGTGGCGTGCCGCCACTGTTACGGAGGTGGCTCTGCAGCAGCTTGGTGGCTCCATCCTGAAACGTTTTTGGTAGAGCGCCCAGCAGCATGGTGAATTCGGGGGTGTTCAGCTGGAACAAGGAGATCAGCACCGACTGGGCAGCCTGCAGGCGAGGAGGAGGGGAGGGGCGTCGTAAGCAAGCCGACAGAATGGACTCCATCGTGCTGCCTTTGGAAAGGAGCAGCATTCTAAGAGCAGAAGCTCAAAAAACAAAACTCAATTAAAGGGGCCGTTCACCCTGAATCTGACAAAAAGACGTTTTAGAGGGAATTTAGCGCTATGTATCCAGCAAGGTGGTTGTTCTGGGAGTCGTCTAGTGCTGGAGATATGGGCCGAAGACATGTTGGGGTTCTCTCGAATATAATGGGAGGGAATGGCCTTCTTTCTGTGATGGTTCAAGTGCCAAAAAATACATTTGAAAAATTCAAGAGCAATGTCTCTTACCAGGAATCATGACCCGGTTACTCGAGATATTCCACAGACTTTGTAGACTGCAAATTACTGTATGAACTACTGTCTTTGACTGAACTCCACACTCTAATAGTATCACTGTGCGCAGAACCCCGGTTACTGGTGTGTGGAGATTGGTATCAAGCCCCTCTAAAACGTCTTTTTTATGCTTTGGGTGACCAGCCTCTTTACAAGGGAAACCACGTAGGATGTGGAAAGCAGCTGCACACCTTCCTGACGTCAGAGCTCTTGGGCTCAGTGGTCCAGGTTATGATGCGCGAGACGGCCAGCCGGGTCTCACTGGAGTTGACGAAGTCAGTGGGGTCCATCTGCATGGCCAAGGTCTCGATGTACTTTAAGATGGCCACCTTGACCTAGAAAGCGAACCGCGTTAGTGAGGCGAGAGCGGAGAGGCACGAGAGAACGGCCAAAACCTGGGGAAGCTCTGGCCCCCTACAGAAGAAGCACCACGGGGAGATGAGACAATCCCACCCTTCCCCTCCTCCCCCTGGCCATGATACACAAGGACAGGTCTGTAAGGCTGCTTCCTCACATGACAAAATCTCTCACTTCACTTATACTTGATTTCCCAAACCGCTGGGAGGAAGAGACACAGGATTGGGCTGGGAACCACCAAATGAAGGGAAAACAAGGAGAACAAGCAACCAATCAGGCAGAAGTCCACAGAGGAGGAGCCTGCCTATTGGCCACTTACCACAGCCAACAAAGAGGAGAAAGAGAAGATGACCCTTCAGTCGGAATGTGACCAGTTCCACATAAGGAGGTTTCCCTCTGTTTGGTGACACCAGCGGCAGTAGTAGATCACAGAGGGAGCGCAGTATAAAATTGCTTCCCCTATAGCACCACTGACCTGTGATGCCTGGTCCCACACTTGGATTTGCTCCTGCAGTGTGCAGGCATGGCGCCTGGGCCTTCTGTGGCAGCGGGGAAGCAATTTTATAGCGGCTCCCAGCCCGCAACAAGAGCTCCGTGCCGGCTTGGGGAAGAGAGAGGAGAGGGAGCCCGTTACCGGCAGGGACAGACGGGGCCGTCAGACTCACGATGGGGTGTGGAGGGATACGCAGGAGAGGAAGGACACAGCGACAGCTGAGGGACGCAGCAGCCAAAGCAGGAAGCCGGTGAGCAGTACAAACACAGGGGCTCGCTTTGGCAGGGGCAGCTGGGCGTGCCAGCAGGGAGCGGGCAGGAGGAAGACCGGCACAGGGAGAGGGCACAGGGAGCAAGACTGGCACAGGGAGAAAGACCGACATAGGGAGCGGGCGGGCAGGAGGAAGACCGGCATAGGGAGCGGGCGGGCAGGAGGAAGACCGGCATAGGGAGCGGGCGGGCGGGAGGAAGACCGGCATAGGGAGCGGGCGGGCGGGAGGAAGACCGGCACAGGGAGTGGTGGGGGCCATTCCGAAATGGGAGCACCATGAGTAAAGGGGCGTGAGGACACAGCACTCCGCAGCCTCAGAAGGCGCCACAGACGGTAGGCACCACTGCGACTATGCCGATTCCTCCAGCGACGGCACTACATTCCCAGCAAATAGGTAACAAGAAGCCGTATTTTCATACAGTAAAAAATAATGTAAAAGTCTTTTCCAGTGTTCAGTGACCCAAACTCCATGACTGTTTGGTCAGGTTCCCTACTTGACCCCAACCTGAGCCAAGTGACCTTTGTGACCTTGTCAGCCAGAGGAGTTCTCTGGTTTAGACAGCTAGACATCAGATAGACCTCATCATGCCAAATGAGAGAAGATGCAAGCAAACCAGGAGGCTCCCCTTCAAATGGCTCCTGAGATGGAATCTCCTTCATGAGCATGCAATGTTAATCCAGTCCCCCTCTTCCTGCATATAAATGGTTCTAAATTTCTGTAGAGCTACATCAAATTCCACATGTTTATTTAAGCTGTGACTGAGACATTTAATAAAACCACTTAAGACAATTTAAGGAGAAAAACAGATCAAGGTACAATCTCCTGTATCTCCACACCTGTGTGTGTGTGTGTGTGTGTGTGTGTGTGTGTGTGTGTGTGTGTGTGTGTGTGTGTTAGATCTAGCCCATTTCATGGACTGCTGGGAAATAAAGAATTCTTGAGGATCAGCCTTTTATTTTTGTTAACTTTACAGTAGCACTATGCGAATCTCACTCATGATTTGCCTTGTTTACATGTTCGTTGTTAACAGCTGGTGATGATGGCGATGAACACACGGCTTTATACAGAGTCACTCTGAGGCTTTACACACGATCCTGGGGCACAAGGTCATTAACAGCACTGTTACAGCACAAATGCGTACAAACCTGTGTTAAGAGACACTAAAACAGGCCAAATTACGAACCAGCTGCCCCAGTGTCACGCAGACAAGAAAACCCAAACCCCATTTAGCACCTTCTGCATGCACTGCAGCACCCCCCCAGTGGCCTCAAAGAAATCACACTATCCAATACAGCAATCACTAGTCCAAGCGGGTCTTTGTGGGTACCTTCAGGTTGGGCGTCTGGGTTTGGTCCACCGTAAACCTCATCAGGATGGTGAACTGCAGGTCATTAGGGAAGGACTCTCTGTGAAGAAAGACAAGCAGAGGGACTAAACGATGAGGCACCAGATAGTGGCCATCGGGGCCAGGCAGAGATCAGGCCCCTTCCTCGTGAATTAAAGGTGAGGCACCGCAAGTTGCCCCTGCCACATGGTGGAACAGCGCCACTCTGTGGTGTGGCAGCTGCAGGGCAAGAGAAAAAGCAGCCAGGAACAAATTTACTTTATAACAAGCGGAGCACTTTCTAATGAAAGAATACAGGTCAGGATATTCAGGAGCTGCGTAGCCTATTACAGGCCAGACGGCGAGCGGCAGTGCCAGCTACTCACGATACTCGGGGGGGGGGGGCGGACCCACCTGGTGATGTCCAGCGCCCTCTGGACCTTGGCCTGGACAGAGCCCAGCAGGTCAGCGCCCATCTTCTTCAGTAACTGGGTGAGCAACACAAAGAGCCAATCCTGGAGGTCCTCCTTGTGGACCAGGATGAAGTCCACCAGTGTCTCCAGGAACATGCTGAACACCTGCAGCAGGTGGGGGGGGATCAGCACAGCATTAGCCGCCCAGCAGTGCGGCCCCCAGACGCCCAGCAGTGCGGCCCCCAGACGCCCTCCACTCAGTCTCGGGAATTAAGGCATTAGTATCGAACAGAGGCCTCACACACTCTCACAGCACTACCGCCAAATCGCTGAAGAGATGCATTCGACCTCTCATGCCGATAAGATCACTGACATCATAAAACGACAGCAGATCTGATGCCCAGAGCTAATATAGGTGTCAAGCCCATGAAGCACAAAAGGGATTCAGCCTCTATTGGTGAGGAAGCAAGGGGATTAGAAATCTGGAAGCAGGGAAGCCCATCTCCACCAGGACAGCGGCCAGGATCACCACACAGCCACAGCAGGCACTCATCAGGGCGCCCATTAAACCAAGCAACCACGCATCCGCCACTGGATTTTCTGAGATTCGGCATAATCCATACTTAAGCTGCACTTTCCTGATGCACTGCAGCGGCTGCAAGTCAGACACACAGACAGCCAGACAGACACACACAAAGCATATATTCCTCACAAGCGCACACACACAGACAGGTAGTTAAAATGGGTTAATTTCACTCCCATGCAAGAGAAAAGTCCATCACAGTGACGAAACCCACTTACTCTCTAGAAAGTTCCATGACACGTGGGCATGAGGGCAAATACATAAGAAAAAGGAGAAACAAACACCAATTAACTTCCAGCTTTAATGGTGGGATAACCGGTCAGAAATGCAGTTACCACTGAAACTGTCCGTGTTTAACCAAACCAGTGTGTCACTGGGGAAGTCCCCTCTCACACGGTGCAGGAGCATTCGGGGACAAGGGGCCAGCTCAGTCGGACACAAAGCGCCCACACACTAGTCCATTTAGCTGCTAACGGTCTTACAGCCTCTGATAAATGGAAAGTGACCCGTTATCCACTAGGGGTGTGGACCCTGCACCTGTAATGAGGGGGCCTGCTCAGTGAACGCCCCCCTACAGGAGGCCTGGGTGTGTGGCAGCAGCCCTGAAAAACTGAGCACTCAGATCAGGCCGTGCGGAGCTGAAAATGGCTACCATTATGGCAGGGGGTACTGCACTCTCCACGTCAATGATGCCTGCAAATATCTGCAAAAAAATCCTTTAAACTTTCCCCCCACGCAGGGGACATTCAGACAGACTAATGCACGGGGCAAACACAGAAAAATGAAAGAAGAACCTTCAGCTAGGATCTGTCAGAGCTGCATGTAGAGAGTGAGGTGTAAGTGGGTCAGATGGGTGTGTGTGTCATGTTCGACAGCTAGGAAGAGCGCTGTGGAGGGGTTACTTCAGGGCAGGGACTCCGTGGCAGGAAGGGAGGGGGCAGCTCAGTACTGAGTGACCCGACGTCCGCACCTACCACCCTAAAAGCCCGAAAGCGGAGCGGAGCGGAGCAGAGAGGAGAGAAGAGGGGAAGGCGACAGGAGAACAGGAGGTACCTTAAAAGAGGCTGAGCTTATACCGGATTCTGCCGGACCAAAGCCCCTGCTCCCCGCTTCTAGCTGAAAGTCAAATTGTTCACCGTTCATCGTTTGCTGACGACAGCCATTCAGAGGTCAAGTGGGGGGGGGGGTAAACAAAAACAACAGGGCAGTAGAGGAAGAACTGGGGAGAAAGACGATAATCGGCCAGCGTGTCGAGGCGTAAACAACTGGCACTCGGTCAGAGGGTTAGTTGGTAGTCTCTGCTAAGGTGCCTCAGGTCAAGTGTGTTACGGAGGTGAGTGTGTTACGGAGGTCACCGGGATCACGCTGGATGCTGTGTGCGGCGGGGGAGGGGGGTGCAGTTCGCGTCAATCCCGTGTCAGTCCAATATTGCCCCCACAGGCCCATGCCAAGCATGCCCATCCACCCACTTACAGTATGGCCCCGGGGCTCAAACAGCAAGACCCCCGTCCTCCACTGTCGGCAGAATCCGGTATACAATCAACCGGCGAGGACGGCGCGCATGCCAGGGCATACCTTGCTGTGCGGGTCGGCGAACATCCTGGTGAAGATCTCACAGAGCCTCTTCAGCTCCACGCGGCTGTGGGGCAACGGGACAGGCGTTAGTCGGGGAGGTGTATGTTCCAAGAGGAGGCGCAGGACAGGAGGAGGTAGTGTACCTGAGGGTCCTCTGGCTCTTGAGCAGGCTTTGGAGGCCCAGCAGGCCCTCCTTGCGCTCGGACCAGTTGGCGCTGGCACAGCGGTTGAGCACCTCGGCCACGTCCTCCGTCTGCCGCATGTAGGTGGGCAAGCTGCCGTTTCGCGAGCTGTAGGAGCGCTCCGAGCAGGCGCTGGAGGCGTCGCTGTTAGCATCGTCGTCGGAGTACATGCCGTAGGTGTCGTAACGCCGCCGCCCAGCCTTCCGCTGTGGGGGTGAGACAGACAGGAGAACCAAATCAGGCTCCCCTTCAGTAAGGGTATCAGAAGTATCAGACACTCATGCTGAATCACAATGCTAACAGCAGAGGGAGCCAGTGAACCCCGAAGGAGACCCACTAACAAATATACACCTATTTATAAAAACAATGACAATCAGTCACCAGCTTGAGAAGCAACCATCTCTTTCATAGGCCGCAGAGAAGTTTATGAAGAGAGTGGGGGAAAATAAAAAATAAATCTACCTTGGTCCTCATGTCTCCTAGAAGCTGTCAGCGTTAGCGGGAGGAAGAGAGCAGTTAGACAGCGGTTAAGTGGGAAGAGGTAGTGAAGGAGGCCAGGCACACAGACGGCGGCATACAAACAGACCAACCCCACCCCGAAAAGCAACAGCGACCCCTTGTGAGGAGGAACTGTATTACACATACGATACAGCAGTACAGGCAGAGAAACAGGGGAGTGTTAGCTAGAGCAGGCGTTGTGGGAGCTGTCGGGCGGGCCGGTACCAGGGCATCAGCCAGAGCCTCCTCCACGTCGGAGCCGGTGTTCAGAACCCGCATGGCGCTGACCGACGAGGACAGGCGGCCCGCCTGACTGATCCCGTAGCCGGTGCCTGAGAAGAAAAACAGAGGCCTTAACCCCGGGCACAGAGCGCCTCCCACAGGTCAGTGAGGGTCAGAGCCCTGTGCTGACACGGAAGGGTCTGCACAGCCTGCTGAGCTGGCTCCGCCTGACATGTAGACAGACCCAATCACCTTCCGGCCCACTCAGAGCCCCAGGTGACATGACATCCCACATTTGTGCAGTAAAACAAAGAATGGGTGACTCAAGATGGCAAAACAATGAAATTAAAGACCCATAATAATGGATGGTAGAAACCCCAGACTTGCTCACCCACAGTGGGATTCAAAGAAACCCATTTCTGCCGTGTTACAGGACGGGGGGGGGGGGTGGTCATAAAGACTCATAGCCCTGGTTTATTTCCCCCAGGTAGCGAAAAGATCGAAACTCATGGATGCAAAAGGGGCTCAGAACAAAACCATGTTAAAATGCGAAGTGAGGCTCAAAAAAATCCATGAAGCTGAATGATGCAAATGAGAGGGGAAAACATGGTGCTGAAAACTGAAGCTAAGGACATGAAGGTTCTACTCAGCCTTCACCTGCTGCCCCAAAAACGTCGGGCGCGTGGAGGGCGCCAGTGGACCGGGAGTGATGTCGCGAGGCTGTAACGGAGAATCACAGAGCCCGCGCTGGTTAGTGTGTTTGTGTGCAGGAGGACAGGGGGTGTGGGATGCTGCGCCATGGAAGGAGCATGGAGGCTGAACCAGAATCATGTGACCAAGATAAAGCAACCTGCCGCTAAAGGCCCGACGGGCGCCAACGCGACCTGCCGCTAAAGGCCCGACGGGCGCCAAC